AAGGGCACGACGGAGAAGGTCATCCAGAATTTCCTGAGAGTATACATAATAACCCCGAATCCAGTCTCCCCCAATGTTGCCTCCCTTAGTGAGTTGATGTTCGGAAGCAAGATCTGGACTTCATTTGATAGCATGTATCCACAAAAAAGACGAGATTATAAACCTAAGGCGAAGAGAATTGATCATGATGGGTTACCAGTGTATTTAAGGAACTTTTGATAACGGGAGCCTGCTTGAATAGCGGGTGTCATCGTTAGAAAAGTCGGTAATGTGTTGTACAAAACTGATGTTCAAGGTAAATGCCAGGCGCAACACGTTAACCACATCCGCGATAGATGACTAAATTCGGATAAAAAAAATCCCCTAGTTCCATTTTGCCACTAGATTATTTAACTGATACAGTCAGTTTGGAGCATCAGGATCAGCGCGGAAGAATTGATGGCCAGACCTCAAGCAGATCACCAAGAAAACGACGTTGCCATCAACACCTTCAGCAAAATTCAAAAAGCAGGACTAATTTTCCAGGAGGGAGAGGTGGTATGGTCAGCCAATCAGAAGTAGCTCAATGAGGTCATACGATGGCAGTCAGAAATGACCTGATGGACAAGTGCATCATTGTAAATAAAAATAATATATTTGTAATATCCCAATGAGTAGAAAATTGGATTTTTCGGACGTTTCGTGGCTTAGTGTAAGTACACAAAGAAACCTCCTAACAATCCGGTAGAATTGAACCAACTTCAAATTAAATCGGCAATAGCAGTTCATGCCATTTTCAACAACCACCAAATCGATTTTAAAAATATCAAAATATTGTAAAAACGCTTTTCTAACTACAAAGAAATGAGGGTAGCTTAATCCTACTACTCTCAATAGAAAAGAAGGCCTTACCATACTTCCTACTTGGACCATCTATCCAAACTATTCAGTCTGATCGTATTTACAATTTCACACTTTCATATTACAAATTTAAACTCTATCCTTTCATACCATATAGGTCACACAAGTGTTCATTCTTAAACAATGCACACATACATACACACACAAATTTACATACCTATCACTTATGAATCACCTTGACAGAAATGACATGACATCAACTTGGTTGACATTAAATAACCGGCCTATATGATTCCCTACCACCCTTTTTAAAAAAATTGTGGGGTGTGAATGAAAAATTTAGGTATCGTTGATTGGTGGACTTGTTTTGCAAGTGTGTGCTCAAGTGATAATGAACAAACATTTTGTTACCTTTAATAATTTTATGATTGGTCGTAAACTGTTCATCTTTGTAATCTGATTAGTTGAAATCGAAATCACATCTGGAGCTGTGATTGGATGTCAGAATTTTAATTTTTTACATTTGAAATTTAATGATAATGAATAAATTTTTTTGTGTAATCTTAGTCTTGAAAAGAATTTAGACTTTTGAAGAAAAAGACACCAACTTAATTGCATTACCGTGCAATCCTACTGTTAGTGAATGTGTATTGGGATCAATTTTTGTTTTCCGATCAAGTATACCTTGAATTGAAGTCGTTAGTTATCTGAACACGAATAATTATATGTATCTCAGTAAAAGAAAGTTTTTGGGAAAAAGCATCTGTAAACCGGTTTGAATATTTGATAATAGTGATTACTGAATGAGGTCAGTAGTCAAATATTTAATACCAAATTAATAAACAAATTATCACCAAAGTGTGTGCATAGGTTTTTTTGTAACACACAATGTGTTAATGGGAAAAAGAAATCAACATATCAATAAATCATCATGATAAATTACTGGTTGCAATATTTATAATTCAGGTGAAGCAATCATAGACCATCATTTAATGAACTGACTTTGACAGTATATGAATGTAGTAATAAATTTTCCGAAAAAGACACTTAATATTTAGTAAAGGATTATTTTGTAAATGTTCATTCATAATGAGAATTAGACAACGTTAGATTTAAATGTGGTTAATTTTAAAAGTCCAGTGAAAGGGTTTATTGTGTTCACTTGTAAATTATTTGTAGTTCTGTATCTTAAAATTAATTTTTTGGTCGTAATAAAAACTTGTGTGTGTTTAATCAGTCAAATGTGAATATTGTTCACCGCCGTAATATGAAACTTGAACTATATCTAGACATTATGAATGTAACCATTTTTGACAAGCATTTGAAATATCAGTTTCATGAAGTGTAAATGAACAAGCCTACGTCGTCTGACTGACTCAACAAATATCTATCGACTTTAAACGTATAAATATGAATAAGGTCAACTGTATCAATGAACATTTACAATGCTATTATTATTTATTTTCCTTATTATTATTATTATTATTATTATTATTATTATTATTATTATTATTATTATTATTATTATTATTATTATTATGTCAATTGACAAGATTCAATTGCAATACTATGTATTTCATTGACACAAAATTTTTTGCATTTTCAATTTTCCTATAATGCTTAGTCACTTATTGTGACTGAACAGTTTACTGCAAATCATCCCGACCTTTAGTGAATGACCTTTTTAATTTGTAATCATATATATCGTTACAGATGTAAACGTTAACCATTGTTCACACACATTACATTGTCAAATTCATAAATGTCATGCCTTATTTTTGGACTTTATAAAATATTAAAATTATGGACTAATAACTGTATAGTGTGATGATGAAGTTAATGAAAACGATTGTTTCCTAAATTATTTTTTATTTTTGAATATTTTAAGGGAATATTTAACTGGTACAATGTGATTGTACCAGTAATAAATAGTTGAAGAGGTGTGCAAATGAATACGGTGATATAATCAGTAGTTATGAATAACAATGGAGGCTTAGTTTACGATCAGACGTACTTCTTACGTACGCATAGTTCTGGTTTCAGGAACTTTTAATATAAAACAAGAATAGGAAGTTCTTGTTTTTTGTATTCATGAAACGGATAATATTCTTATTTCTTTTTACACTTACTGTATGACCTTTTATCACATGAATCATTTCAATGATGATGGTTTCAACTTGTTTTCTAATATCATTATTTTATTCCTAAATAAGTTAATTTTCTCAATTTTGTTTACTTCTCTATGAGCTTTAATCACATTCATCTTTGTAATTATCTTATTACATTCACTAATAAATGTCATCATAAATTTATTCACCTAACGACAAAATAACGATTTTCACTCATTTAAAATATTCCTATTAAAATGTACTCAAAATGTACTATTATTAGATAGTTTACAAATGTGTTACTAAAACATGAACGCTAATCACATTATTTTCAATATAAAATTACTAGATTAGTCTTCAATAGATGACAAAATCTTGTCTAAGTTTTCTTAACCTTTATATCTAATAAACGTTAGAAACAAGTTTATGAATACATGAGCGATAATGGCTTTTCCACTATTAATCTCTAAGGGGTATCTAAATTCATGAGACATTAATAAGTGCTTAATCACTTGACCTTTGCGGCGGAAAAGTAGTAGATAAAAAATAATGGAAATCAAATTGTGGGTGGCCCTGAAAAGGGCCTTTACTCGTTCTCGCGGTCGAACGTCATCACTATTAGTTTGTAATGGCGTTTCATCCAAATCAACAGTTCCTCGTTGTATAAACGGCACTGCTACGTTAGTCGAGGTTCTTGAAAGGGTGTACGAATGCTGTTCTCCATGCAAGTTTACTGGCGTTGTTGGTAGTCTACCGTGAACTATGAAGTCATGAAGTGAACTGCATTGTTCCTCCGACATTCGCCTGATTAACGCTATCACTGCATTCTTCATGCTTGGCTGACTCAATTGCATTGGGAAATAATTTTCAACTGCAATATGAGTCAGATAACCATCATAGTGTAACATGGGTATTGCCTTAAAATTCATATCCATGGCAACGACTTGATAAATGGACGTTCTCGTTATTCGTTTTGTACGTCCCGTCAAAACCAATTACGTCACAAAAGTGACCGGCCAAATTCACTTGCTCAGCAGTCATGAAGAAGAAATACGATAGACAGTTCTCATCGTCCAATTCGTATTCGCAAAGCCCACCCAAGGATGTTATGTGAGCTTTCAATTTCCCGTAATCACCTATAGTGTACATTATAAATTGGCAAATTCCGTACCAGGAAGGTTCGCGTGTGAGAACACTTTGTACCGCATATTGCAGACATCTTGAGCGGTCAGACATTTCCCATAAGATTGGTAAGCAAAATTCTTTATGTGGAATGCAGCGGTACCGGAAATCAGCAGCGGTCTCACAGTTTCAAACTCCCCATCCGTTAACCTGCGCATCCATGAATTACCCTGGTACCTCAGGGAATTGCACTGGTGATTGTGATGTACATTCCCACGTACAACAGTCCAATAGCCGTCTATAATCTTACAAAACATAAATGCTGGACATTGGGTGTTCATAGAAGCCCTTCATTAAAAAAATTATAAAACAATTTACCAAATTACCTCCTCCGTCTAATACGTTGTGACGAACCGCTAGATCTTATACGCCCATTTCGCCAACACACAACTTTAATGTAGGATTTTTGATCTCTGCCAATATGCGAATCTCTCACTACATAATGACTGTAAGTCGATCTTTCAAAATTTGTGATAGTGGTCTTTAACGCTTCAACCGATGGAAACGCAACCAGAAACAAGGTAGTCAAAAAGACTTCCTCCATTTCCGTTACGTGAGAAACACCAGCGCTTGTACTCGGCACGTTACTCTGCTCCATAATGACGATTGAGATGGTGCTTCGTCGACAAGTACTGATAATTTATAACAATTTTCAAGACATAACTAACCAATTAAATCTAATTTTTGAAACTAGCCATTTCATTGGACGAAACACGGGATGAAAAATATTGTAATTTGGGGGTGGAAAATTTTTTTTTTTAAAAAATGGCCGGTCGGACAATATTATTCCCATTTGAAGGACCTATTAAGCCAGAAAATGTAACAGTGACCAACATCAAACCAAATGAATTCACTATTAAATGGAACGAAATGAAACAAGATTTAACGTTCACTAACATTTGTTATTCACTTTATGTGCGACCAACTTTAAATATTAATGATAATTTTAATCAGTTCAATGTTTGCAATGGGAAAAGCGAATTTACTGTCATTTTCTTATTACCTAGAACAAATTATACGGTATATCTTAAGTCGTTTGATACTAATTATGGTATATACAGTGATGCAACGAAATCTTTTCTAATCTATACAACATATCCAGCATGTAAGTTTATCAATACTTAGTAGGTTTTCTTAATCCATTTTATAAAATGTAATCAAATTTTTCCTCAGAAAACGTATTCCTTAAGCAAAATTAATTTAAGGCATTAGTTCATATTTCAGGTCCATGTTCAAGAAGCGTTTTGTTAATCAGTAATCTTTTTATTAGTAAATTTGTAAACGTTTGGTAATGCTCGACATTTCTTGAATTGATTATGATAAGTCTTCTTTGGCAACATCCAGTGTATTATATCCGAACGAAGAATAAGAGAATGGTAACTGCTAATATCTATTTATGGAATTATATATATATATATATATATATATATATATATATATATATATATATCATTCGTCTGATCAATAAGTCATAAAGATATAATACAGTAGAAATGGGAACCGACACTTTGATAATCTAATCATAGTGGGCTTGCATTAAGAAATAACTTTAATTATAGATCGTAATGATTATAAAGTGCAGCGTATTTTCTCTACAGTCATATTCCATAAAATTATTTTAATTACAGCGAAAATCATGATGAAAATCGCTCTTAAAATGACCAAAGACCTTCACAAATCCTTTTCATTAAATAATGGTCATTCGCACACTGATGATTACGTACAAATTACACTTTCTGAAATGCCAGAAAACCACGAACACGTAAGAGCATCTCGAAATGTTATTGTCACCCTTATTTTTTACTATGGGAATGACTCTAGAACCATCGTAAACGTTTTCATTAGTGTTTTTATGAGCAACGGTAAAAATTTGAGTGATATTCGTTCATAAGTTACGTATATGATTAGCAACTTCACTTCATTTGTTTCTCTCTTTCTCTTGCTTTAAAACGATGATTTATGTGTTGTAGTTAGTTTTTTGTAATTAACATATCAACATTTCAGGTATTCAACCACCAGTCAATTTAACATTTTCTGAAATTAATATTTATGGATTTACTGTACATTGGGATCATGCATTAGAAGAGCATTCATTCGATAATAACAACTATTATTATGTCTTCATAAAAGCTTCGCACAATCATACAAACAAACCAATGAAATTCAATGCTGGTCAATCAGCCACAAGTTTTCATATTTTTAGTCTTTCACCGGATACATGGTATAGTGTATCTGTACAATGCATAGATACTACATACCATAATAGTATCGAATCAGAAGAGATTTTTGTACATACATATTCCGAGAGTAAGTGATAATACTGACTTATAAATTGAAGCAGTTTTTTATTTTATTGTATACCAAAATATTCTGACAGACGTCATTTATAGTTCAAATAAAGATGAGTATTTTCCCAATAATAAAAGGGATTTGTAGTTGTCAAAGATATATGTGATCCACGTAATTATAGTACCTATGTCTAGCAAAGAAATACATGTCGGTGATTGAAAAAGTACACATAAATTAAAAGTCTAGACAACTTTCAAAAATTGACCTGTCTGAAGGTGTTTTTCACCATAAAATAACATTAATTAAATGATAAGCTAAAATCGAAGACTGGACAGTTGGTCTTTATCTAACTTTGGGATATTTAGATATAAATTCCAGACTCAAAACAAACTTGCTGTTAAGTGTAGTCAACGTGCAAGCATTCAAACAGTTAATTTGGATCTGAAAAGCACAAGTGATAACACTGTTCTGGTCAAGAAGAGACCAACCGTCATCCTTGTGTTAAATCATTTCTGCAATTTTCACGCCTTCACTGTAGCGTTTAATCCACTTCAAAATGTTCTACTTATTAGTAGTACTCAACATTTCATAAATTTTCTTCAAAAATTTCGTAGTAATTCGGTTAGCGTATTTACTTGATGTTCTTTAAAGTTTGTTCCTAATGATCTGGTTAGATAAATATCTTGTTCGTGATTTGACGATATTTAAACTTTACACACTATTACTTATTCCATTTACCTTTAACTATTTTGTCAAATAAATAGCTGTTGAATGTGACAGTCTTAATCAGCTGACGAGTCTGATCCTACAAGTTCCACCAGAACAACAAACAACTCATATTCAACAAGACAGTATGATTATTTTGTATTTACCGTTATCTCGGTTAAATTGTTTCATTTCAACAGTTTATGTGGTTTCACTTGTAATAAAACCAACTAGGGAAAATCATCATGATGAAATTATTTGTTCTGAAGGTTGTACAAAGAAAATGCACTACAATGACATTACGGATATTTATTTAGTTGAGTCGGTAAGTCGGGTGTGAATTTTAGTTCTTTTATTTATTCATGATATGCGGTACCTTTGTGGCAATGATGAAATTAACATTACTGATCGACAATAAATGAAACATTATTATGAAATAAGCACAATTCAAGATATTGGATTTCAGATCAAACCTAATATGTTTAATGTGTAGTGCCAATTAGTTATGTCATAATGATTGGATGTTAGTGTTCAATCATTAAACTCAAATTCGGTGTCATTTGACAGTGATTTTCATCACCAAGTGACATCGGTTTCCGGATCTTTAGAAACACTGAAAGCTCCCTTCGCCATAGTTTAGAACTTATCCATAGACTTTAGCTATACCATATAGCGTAATTTTACTTATCCGTCCAGTTTGAATCTGATTGACTCACACTTCTCGACTTCAAGCTATTTGTGATATTCCCATCCAATACTTTCTGAAGTAATGTTTCACTCCTGAAACCCGTGAGGAGGCTTGAAATAGTGCCTCTGCAGGTGGTGATGGTGTTCCAGCCACTTAAAGTTGGTAGAGCCTATTCTGGGGAAGCCAGTGTGGCTTTTCTGCTATTAGCTTCTGTGTTTCAAGGCTCACAAACTCACTGTGTGGATGTGATTGCGTGGGGAAATCGATACCACCTGGCTTGTTACGCGGGCGCAGTATCGTGACCAAGTATAGTTTACAGACATACCGATAACACAAGTTTTCACTCACACATCCCATATGGGTTTATTTATTCACCTGGGGAAGAGATGGTCACAGCTCTCTTCAAACGTATTTGCTACTGATTGTTTCTTACGCGCTACATGCGTATAATCGGCACAAAGGCTTTCATCCTCGCACTTCATGACAAACATATAAGCATGAGCACTCTCTGGGTAGGTTGGTAGTCACCTGTCCCTAGTATCTGCTCCCGTATATTTTTATGATGTCTTCTACCTGTTATGTTAGGTTGCTGATTGTATTAGGCATAGGGCATATAATTTTCCAGCTTATGTTCCTTGTGCTAAACCTCACACATGCCTTTGGTATATACCTACATACACAAATTACACAATCTCAGACTCATGCAATTCATATACATAATCATACACGTCAAGAGGCCCGCCAAATTTAGTCGACCCCAAAATTGGGACTGAAACAGTCCAGTTTACAACAGAGTGGTAAATTAGTCCAATGTCTACCGACTGTCCATATTAGCGGTCAAAGATGCCCTCACTACCCCGCAGCTCTACTTGGTGGCTTTGAGTCAGGTTTCGCTACTGTTTCTGAAGGGTACATTACTAAAGTAATTTCGATGCCCTGTGTTCCTTTTCAAAGGTTTTCTAACAACTATTAGTTTGTTATGACAATCATCGTCAAAATAAAAACTTCTCTACAAACGTATTTAACATAATACCTTTCATACCATATAGGTCACACAAGTGTTCATTCTTAAACAATGCACACATACATACACACACAAATTTACATACCTATCACTTATGAATCACCTTGACAGAAATGACATGACATCAACTTGTTCAAACCTGTTTTTGATTGATCAAATATTATTCTTGCATTGTTCCGTTGTACTATTTAAACTTGGATTAATTTAATTTGGTTATTTATTCTCTGAAGAAGTGACTTACACTAAGTCACGAAACGTCAGAAAATCCAATTTTCTACTAATTGAGATATTACAAATATATTATTTTTATTTATAACAATCAACCCAATGCTCAATTTATTCGAAATTATCAAATCAAACCTTGGTAATGACACCTACAAGTGCATCATTGGTTAGAAAAAAGGGACTGATTTTCCAAGGGGTAGGGTTGTATATATGTAAATGAATATTTATGCAATTTATTCGGTAGCCCAATATTCTTTCTCGTTCATGCAATCAGTTGAGGGGTTAGCACATAGTACATCGTGTATTAGTATCAGATTTCGGACATCGCCGTTATAACATAAATTTTATATTTAGTGTGTCCTCATTACCAGTTTGCATTCTGAAGGGCAGACCTTTTGGGTAAATTACGCATCTTCGGGTCTTATTAAATCTGAAATTTGTTTAACTAAATGCTATTGCTTCTGACTGAAACCGAAAATCACTCATATACGACTCCGTGTAAATTAGTAAGCAGTTGCTTCACAGTATGAGGAATTGTCGTGGTATTGTAGATTTATTGGGGTTACAGACGGCCATCCGTTAATTTCGTCATTACTCTGAGTATTAAATCAATGATGAAGTTGTGTTTCAGATAGCAAATCGATAATAAGTTGGGTTACTAGAAGTAATGCAGTTCAACCTTAATCTGTTAGTAGGTTTTATAAACGAAAAATTTCTACACAAAAATTGGATCTCAGTTGTTATTCACCAAGAAATCATCTCCCTGATAATACTATCTCTCCACTAGCTGGTACAGTGATTTGCCATATAATGGGTTTTAACAGGTGTTTCTACTGCAAAAATTGAAGTTTCAATCAGTAGATTGAAATTGCTGCTTATTTCTAACGATTTCATTAAGTACCACGATAACATAGAAACACCAGACGGTGACTTGTAGAGTATGCATTTTCGCTAATGACTGATTCATAGTAGTGTCATGTAACATTTTCAACAATAAAAGAATAAACTAACCTGTACTGTGTAGCGGGTTTAAGTGGTCCATTGCATTCATGCGAATTATATGGACATATACCATTTTCACCGATTATGAAATATTTATCGGAATACAGATAACTTTCATTCATTCGGTAAGCCATTGAACGTCGTGTACGCGTCTGACTTAATTCCAACCGTGAATGTATAAGTACTTCCCATGATCCATTTTCTTTATTATGGCGATTTTTGTATGTCTTTTTTTATTGAGCGATTGAATACAAACAATGCATCAATTAAAACTTCCTTAACAATGAATAAACACTTCAACTAAATTTTAAAATCATTTTTGATTGAAAGTTGATATAGGATTAGGCGTCATTAGTGATTTACCAATGAATTATCATACATTATGATAAAATAGTGTCTGTAGGCTGTCAAAATACTTAGTAACATGCTATAAAGCTCCAATAAAAACTGATTAGGAATGAGATCTGTTTTTTCTATTCATATCTCATGTAGAATCACATATTTTTCTAATTCTATCAAACCAAATATTTGGCTCAGATAGGTAAATGTAACAGTTGTTATTATTATTAACTTATTTCCAAAAACATCAAGAACGCTTATCAAACCTGTGTACAGTTTGTGATGAGCGTAAAGCTTTCATTACCACAACATAACCGGTACCACTAGCAAGAAACTTTAACCTCTGGTTTCTTGACGGTTATCTACAACAATCTCAAACTAAAAATACGCCTTTTTCATAAATTACAAACGGAACGGAGACTTAGTATACAGAATTCAAATCTTTACAATCACTCCGAGTCAACATAGTTCTCGTAGTAAACGTATTCGAAAGACCACCCAAACTAATCAAGATATAAATAAACTATTTTTTAATGGCCCGTGATCAACCAATTATCCAGTAAATATTATTTGAACAGTACAAAGCACGGAAATGAATCACAAAATGCGAAATCGAAGTGTTTGTAGTTATTTGAGTAAACAAGAAGAACTTTACAAGATCCGTCAAGTGCGCCGAATAATTTTTTATAAAAACAGCAAATGGTATCTTTAATTGCTTTGATATTGATACATCCTCACACGAATCGAATGATGAAGTGCGGCGCATATATATTTGTTGCCTCCTTGTACAAATGTTTATGGGTTTAAATAAATAAATAATAAGCACACCGTACCTGATAAACTCAACTAATTTATATAAAATCTAACCAAATCGTTATATCATATAACGCTCCAGCACATGTCTAACGGCAGATCTATTAAAGTGATTATTACTATCGTTTTCCTCTGCTTTCTGTTTCCGTTTTATTTTATCTAGTTGTAGATTATAACTACTTCGTAATGACACGAAAAATGACCATAAGTACATTGTACATTCTTCAACAGGACGTCTACTCGAAAAGAATGAATGATCCTTGACTGTTGGCCGGTATAGTTGTAATCCACAAGAAAAATGTACTACCTAAACAATTTCTGAACTAGGACACTTTAAACAATCTGACATAACATAACGATTTTTTACTTTTAGCATTGTTATTTATATGAAAATGGTCATCTTTGTAAATCGCCATGAGTTCTGTGATTCTTTTACGAATATATATATATATATATATATATATATATATATATACAGTACAGGTTAGTTTATTCTTTTATTGTTGAAAATGTTACATGACACTACTATGAATCAGTCATTAGCGAAAATGCATACTCTACAAGTCACCGTCTGGTGTTTCTATGTTATCGTGGTACTTAATGAAATCGTTAGAAATAAGCAGCAATTTCAATCTACTGATTGAAACTTCAATTTTTGCAGTAGAAACACCTGTTAAAACCCATTATATGGCAAATCACTGTACCAGCTAGTGGAGAGATAGTATTATCAGGGAGATGATTTCTTGGTGAATAACAACTGAGATCCAATTTTTGTGTAGAAATTTTTCGTTTATAAAACCTACTAACAGATTAAGGTTGAACTGCATTACTTCTAGTAACCCAACTTATTATCGATTTGCTATCTGAAACACAACTTCATCATTGATTTAATACTCAGAGTAATGACGAAATTAACGGATGGCCGTCTGTAACCCCAATAAATCTACAATACCACGACAATTCCTCATACTGTGAAGCAACTGCTTACTAATTTACACGGAGTCGTATATGAGTGATTTTCGGTTTCAGTCAGAAGCAATAGCATTTAGTTAAACGAATTTCAGATTTAATAAGACCCGAAGATGCGTAATTTACCCAAAAGGTCTGCCCTTCAGAATGCAAACTGGTAATGAGGACACACTAAATATAAAATTTATGTTATAACGGCGATGTCCGAAATCTGATACTAATACACGATGTACTATGTGCTAACCCCTCAACTGATTGCATGAACGAGAAAGAATATTGG